ATGGCTTGAAATAAAAGGATGATTCATCTCCTTACTACGGACCCACTGCTTGGTGATGAAAAACAAAACAAAACATATGGACAAAGGAAGAATGCCTTCCTGTCATTTCTCAGCCTTGCCTGCCACTGCTCAGCTGGGATGTTAAAGATTGGGGCTTAATGAAAGAAGGTGAGAAGGTGAAAGAAAAAAAAAAAGCCCTAATGAGCATGTGTTTAGAAATACGGTGAGATCTCTGAGAAGTGGCAGTGATTTTCTTTGTGCCTCATGTAACACAGTATCCCCCAAGGTCTAAGAAGCCCATCATCCTTTCCTCCTCACTCATTCCTTCATTTCCCACCCTGGCAACCAGCTTCCACTTAGAACTGGTGTCATGAGTTTAATTTCAGACAGTGGAATGAGAAAGAATCTCCTTTTTCATGACCAACTTGAGGTTCTTTAGATGCATGCTAGAGAGGTGCTGGGCATTCTTTAGGTTGTTTGCATCATTGCTGGAGCATCCCAGGAGCAGGCATTTCAGACCTCATGCTTTGGCTGACAGCCCCTGCCTGTCTGCAGGCAAACTGACACTTACCCTTTATGGGGATGAAGAAGATATTCCCCCCGAGGAAGGCAGAGCTGCTAAAAGCCAAAATGCTTAAATGTTTCAAATGAGAGCCAATAACAGCTGTCAAAACTCTAAAAGCAATGCTCCAAATTAGAACAAAATCTTGTAGTCATAACATCGTCCTAAAATGTCTTTAATCAGCAATCATTCCAGCCCCATGGGGTGAGCACCACATTGTAATTACCAACTCCAACATGAGGGCCAAATTTGGGGCAAAACCCTGGAACTCTGAAAAGAGCTTTTGCTTTGCCAGTTCCTAAACCAGTAAGACATTAGTCACCATTCCCAATAGACTACCTTTTGGGGAATGGAAAAGAAGCACAACAAATAGTGACAGTAAAATAAGAAGCCTTGAAGCTCTGTTCCTTTTGAATCAACAGTGATCTCACGAAGGCAGACATGCAACTCTAATGTTTTATGTCCAGTGTAACTCTAAACACATTGGCAGTCATCAATTGAGATAGTCCTTTGAAGTTGCAAGCCTTAACTGTGTGCTCTCATCCTCTACATTTCACTGAGTGAATAACCTAAATTACACAGAACAGCAGTAAATTGGCTCATCATAGCCCTGTTCTAATTTTAAAAGGATAAAGATTTAAAAAACCAGAGAGCCTAGCAGTGAAAGAACTAGTGAAGCCTATTAAGGGGCTGCTGAAGTCTTTTCCCAGAGGGTCATGGATTTCAATTCAACCTAGGTTTGTAGTGATAAAGGATCATTTAATATTTTGTGTTAAATTTATATGTGCCTTCAGTATAACATTCCTAATAGGGACACTGATAAATTTCATTGGTCACTCTTACTCACACTCTCAGGATTACAGTAGATGGCCAGCCACATTTGGAAAGTAAATTGTTTTCCCCCATATTGAGGTGATCCTTGCAAAATGTGAAGTCCAAGGCACTAAAGAGCATCTTGTCTTCACATTGTCTGCTGCTTGCTTCTCTTCCAGCTCTCCAAACTCCAAGGGGAAAAGTACAGCAGCTCTTTGACTGTCAACTTAACACCCTGGGCCAGCTGAAATTTGAAAGGAGTACATTCATACTCACAGGAACAGCACTTTCCCAACAGCATAACTCTCAGTATGAACAAAGCACACACTTGTGGTGATAAAATGCCAGGTCACAAGTCAAATTTTGATTCCATTACTGAGCATTATCCTTGAGCTCTAAATGGAAAGTCAGTACAATTCACCAGCTGTCAGGCTCCAGCTTTCCCCCCACCCTGAACAATAACAGAATAACAAACTAAATAGTTGTAGCTGCTGGAGTCACTCTTTGATTAAATTCTTAACGACTGACTCGGTGCACAGGTCCCTTCAGCCAGTCAATCAACAAGCAGACTTCCAACCATTCTGATCCCAGGTGTCTGCTTGGAATTTCATAGGAGTAAGTGAAAGAAAAAAAAAAAGAAAGAAAAAAGAAAATCCACCATTAACCAAAAGCAATTTAGGATTTAGATTTAGAGACAGCCCTAAGCTATCAAGGGCCCTATCAGGAACAAAATAATCTGAATGCTTCTCTTTATAACAAAGAGCAAAAGTTGGTGTTGGTTCAGTTGAGATATAAGAATTGCATGAAGTACTTTCCACAGGTTATACTGGTTCCCATCGTCACACTTGATTTTGACCAGGGAGAGAGTAGATGAGCATACAGGAGAATGCCCTTATAAGGAGCTCAACCAGCAGGGTCAGTGTTGTGTATCTGAGTGGCGCTGAACAGCTGTGCCACCCCTAGGACAAACACAGCCCAGCTACGGGAGTGAGGGTGGGAGTGGGGGGTTGTGGGGGTGAAATCCTGTAGCCTGAAAGCACTGAGGAGCCAGCTCCCCCAACTTGTCCTGTGACTGTCAGATGTCTCTATTACCAATGAGGAAGAGCTGCCTAGATCCTTTTTCTTTTTAATCCCTATCATTTGAGACTGGAGGGACTCTGTAGTTATTTCTTGTCAAGAGTCTGGGAAGTCACAGGAAGGCAACATTTTGCAAATGTTTCCTTCTACCAGGAATGAGGATGATAGTAAAATCTAACAACCATGATCCTTGAAATAAAAAGGCATTTAACAGCCTCACCCCACAACCACACCTCTGCCCCTTAAATCTCCAGAAAGAGCTGTCTCTGGAGGCGGGCTAGCGATGGCTGAGTAAATCCTGCCCCTTGGGAGAAGATTTAAGGCCCAAAACAAATCTATCTACCTAATGCACTCATTTCTCCATCTATTGGTAGATCTTTACTTATAACCTATTTCATCTACCTTCCTAGTAGAACTTAATGGGTTCAGCTGTGTACTCTATCTCAAATGGGGAAATGGGAAATACATTTTCTAACCTAAAGCAATCTGCAGGAAGGCTTTCTATGGTTTGGCCTGACTTTCCAAAGTAGATTTCAGCCTTCCCTCCTCCAGGGCCTTGAACTTCAGCATACAGCTTCCAGTCCACTCATGCTGCTTCTTTACTGGAGAGGCTCATTTTCTCTGGTCTTTGTCATGTGGTCCAAATGGATCCAGACATACCATTTCTCTTGAATTCTAGACTGGGTCAGAACAGTGAAGGTCTGTAAAAAAAAAAAGGGTGGTTCAGGGCGGAGTCTGGGCTTGACTTTGTGGGAACCCAACCAAATGTCGAAATTGAAAGCTCAGGCAGTCACGAAGTGGAGGGTGGGAATAAGCAAGTGCCCGTGGCGGGGGGCCCTGGGGACAACGTGACATGGCATCATCACGTGGAAACCACGCAGTCCTCTCCCCACTCAACTCAAGAAATAAGGATATCCGAACAAGCTTGACCACGGTCTGCAGCCACAACCAGGTCTCAGCCCCGGAGAGAGGGAGAAGCGTCTCCTTCACCAAGGCTGCGGCTGGGGTTTGTTTGGAGGTCCGCAATTCACCATGATAAATGTAAAGACTAATTAAGGTTTGATCCGTGCACATGGGAGGCAGACGGCCACTTATAGTGGAACCAATTAACGAGCATGTCCCCTAATTCCTGCCTCGGCCGCCTGGCGCACCGAGCATCCCTAGGCGCCAGAGGCGGCCTCCCCCAACCCGAGGTTCCCCCCAGCCGGGCCCTGCAGGGAGGCGTCCTTCCCCTATGCGAAGGTGCGAGGCGCAGGGCCCTGGGGTAGCTGGGGAGGGGGCGAGCGGGCAGGGCGGTGCAAAGCCAGCCTCCTAGGGAACCCAACTGTTTGCAGCCAGAGACTGGAGGGTGGGACGCGCCAGAGTGGTCTCACAGGGCGGGGGCGGCGGTGCTACCCGAGGAGCCCAGCCCGGAGCCGGGCGGAGCCCCGAAGGCGGAGAAGGTGCGAGGCGCAGGGCCCTGGGGTAGCTGGGGAGGGGGCGAGCGGGCAGGGCGGTGCAAAGCCAGCCTCCTAGGGAACCCAACTGTTTGCAGCCAGAGACTGGAGGGTGGGACGCGCCAGAGTGGTCTCACAGGGCGGGGGCGGCGGTGCTACCCGAGGAGCCCAGCCCGGAGCCGGGCGGAGCCCCGAAGGCGGAGAGGA